CTATTACATTGTCTGCCTACCTTTAAGTCATCAGAAATAATCACCCCTAAATCCCTTTCCTCAGATGTTGAGATTAGGACTCTATCAAATATTCTGTACTCTGCCCTTGGGTTTTTACATCCAAGATGCATTATCTTGCACTTGTCCACATTAAATGTCAGTTGCCACAACTCTGACCATTTTTCTGGTTTACCTAAATCATTTGCCATTTGGTTTATCCCTCCTGGAACATCAACCCTGTTATATATCTTAGTATCATCAGCAAAAAGACATACCTTACCATCAAGTCCTGCAATATAACTAATACAAATATTAAAGAGAATGGGTCCAAGTACAGATCCCTGAGGTACCCCACTGGTGACAAGTCCAAGCTTCGAATATATTCCATTAACTACAACCCTCTTTTGCCTGTCACTCAGCCACTGCCTTACCCATTCAACAATATTGCAATTCAAACTTAAAGATTACAATTTATTGATAAGCCTTCTATGTGCAACAGTGTCAAAAGCCTTACTGAAATCTAGGTAAGCAATGTCTACTGCACCACCCTGATCTATAATTTTAGTTACCCAATCAAAAATCAATAAGATTAGTTTGGCATGATCTCCCTGAAGTAAACCCATGTTGTCTCTGATCTTGAAATCCATGTGTTTTTAGATGTTCAACAATTCTATCCTTTAACATGGTTTCCATTACTTTCCCCACTACTGAAGTAAGGCTTACTGGCCTATAGTTGCCTGACTCCTCCCTACTACCTTTCTTGTGAATGGGCACAACATTCCCTAACTTTAGGTGTATTCCATCAGATCCCATTGACTTACAGTATTTGTATTTACTTTTGACAGTTGAAATAGAACCTCTTCCTCTGTAAACTCACATGTAATAAATGCCTCATTTGTCATTTTTCCTAACTGAGGCCCCTTTCCTTCATTTTCATCTGTAAATACTGAACAAAAATATTAATTGAGGCAGTCAGAGCGTTGGGATAGATAAGAGGAAAACCATGAGAGGACAGAGTCAGAGACTGAGTGATTGAAGAGTTTGAAGAAGGAGAGAATGATCAGTGGTGTCAAAGGCAGCAGAGAGGTCAAGAAGAATTAGTATGGGGTAGTGGCCTTTGGCTTTAGCTGCAATTAGGTTGTTAGTAACTTTGATAAGAGCAGTCTCAGTAGAGGGCGGAGGCCAGATTGAAGAGGGTCAAGGAAAGAGTTGGAATTGAGGAAGTAAAAAAACCCGGGCAAAGACAAGTCATTCCAGAAGCTTTGAGGAAGAATGGGCAGGGATATGGGATGATAGTTAGAGGGAGAAGACGGGTCAAGAGATGTTTTTTTTTTCAGGATAGGTACTACAGTGGCATGTTTAAGATCTGCAGGGACATTGCCAGAATAGAGAGAGCAGTTGAATATGTGTGTTAAGGAAGGCACAAGACAAGGGGAGAGAGATCTGATGAGGTGAGATGGGACAGGATTGAGCGGGCAAGTGGTGGGGCGAGAGGACAGGAGAAGCGCAGCCACCTCTTGTTCAGTAGCCGGGGAGAAAGTCTGAAGGGTAGGAAAGGCATGATCTACGTGTGGTTGAGAAAGAGAATGGCAAGGTGGGGAGAATTCTTTCCTTAGCTGTTCAATCTTGTCGGTAAAGTAGCATGCAAAACTATCAGCTGTAAGGTTAGTTTGGGAGGTGGTCACAGCAGGGCGAAGAAGAGGTTTAAAGGTGTCAAAGAGATGCCTGGGATTGTTGGACTATGAACTAATGAGAGAGGAAAAGTATGACTGTTTGGCTAAGGCAAGGGCTGTTCTGTATGAACACAATATAATCTATAATGGAGATAGTCTGCCTGGGTGTGAGACTTCCTCCAGGAGCATTCAGCAAAGCGGGAGCAACTTTGCAGATAGTGTGTTGATTTAGTATGCCATGGTTGGGGGCGTGTCCTCCTCGAGGTGCATGTGTGGAGCGGGGCTGCAGCATTCAAGGCGGAGGTGAGGGTAGTGTTATATGTGGAGGTGGCCAGTGAGGGACAGGAGAGGGAAGGGATGGATAGCAGTTGTGAATCAATATCAGCTGACAGCTGCTGGAGGTCAATAGAGTTGAGGGGGCTTGGGCTGAGGTTGTTGGGTGAGGGGATACTGGAGAGCAAATGATAAGAGGTGGTGATCAGAGAGAGGACATGGAGTGTTGCAGATATTAGATACTGTACATGTATAAGAGAAAATGAGGTTGAGGGTATTGCCAGC